TGACCATTGGCCCTGTTTGAGGGCCACAGGTTTCCCACCTCTGCTTTACTGGATCAGGAACGGGTGATATTCCAGGCACCTAAAGCACAATCCTATGCATGTTTCCACAGAGAAGTCCCACAACTCCCACCTAGACTGGCGGAGGAATGCTAGAAATTTTAGGATTTATTTCTGTTGAAACATGCAAAGTATTGCACTCTTGTGTAGTAACTCAGGTGAACCCAGCAGAGCCTCTCTACTGTATGTGGTTTAAGGATTATGATGCAGACAGTATTTTAAAGTATTTACCTCAAAATTTGCCTTACTTTTAATCTGACTCCTCCGAAATGTTTTGTCTGTCTTTGTAATAGATTGTACCAGGGCCAGTGTATGTTTGGGTTTATAAAGTACAGAGTATAACTTGGCAAAACAAAACAAAAAAAAGTGGGGGAGCTGTAGAAAGTGCTGAGGTCTTTTTGTAAACCTTGTCTGCATAATCACACTACAATCTAGATGAGAAAACTGTTAATTCTGCCTTCCTTGCCTAAACTCTGACTGAAAAACTGGGACAAGAAGGGCCCATTAACAATACTGTGTGTGCCAGAGTTTTCATGGAAAAGTCACCAGCTGATCTGATGATCATTTCTAAGCTTAATAAACTGAGTTGCACAAGTATGTAGCCCCTTCCCTTCTCAGTATATTGTGATTAAACCAGGAAGTCTTCAATTAAACATAGTTTTCCAGTAACTGAGTTCACATGACATGAGAATCCATAATGGGCTGTACATTTTCCAGCCCCAAAGAACACTGTAACCTTTTCTAAATTCCACTTTTAAAAAGAGTTCATATTTTGTCAACTGTCCAAGTACATGCGCCTGTAAACTGGAGACCTAGTTGTTCATGGTCCCGTGATGGCAGAATCTTGGAAATAACTGCAAAATTGAAAGTACCCAGAAAACTTGCCCAAGGATCTTGCAGCAAAAGGGAGGATAAGTCCACTTTAATATGCAAGGATCTCTTGTCCTTTGCAACCACCTGACGGCTCATCTTCTCACAGCTGCCACATGATCCCAAGTGGGTCTAAACCTACCTGCAGCCTTGGTGGGCACTGCACAGGATGCGCACCTGTTAGACTTTGCCAGCAGGGACCCTTCCCACCCAATTTCCCCCTGACATTCCCAGTTGCTTCACCCACCTAACAATAGCAAAACAACAGCAGTCAATTGAAAAAAAACCACACATACATGATTAATTGTGAAAACTATTGGGTTCAAACAATAAAAAACACATATTTGGCAACCATGGGCCACTCCTCCAAAGAGAGAATTGCAAAAGCCAATTTGACAGCAGGCTTTCATGACCTAAAGGGGCTCAAGGGAAGGAAAATACAAGCTGCAGAGAGTCCAAAATGGTTCATGGTCGCATGGGGAAGAAGGGGACAACTTCCTGTGGTGTCTCCTGCTGGGAACATGGGGGGTGGGGAGGGAAACAATGTATAGTTAGCCCAGTTATTTGCTGGAGCTCACTGTGGGTTGTTCACACAATCTCCTCAGATTGGCTTATACCCAGGGTGACTGATGTTCAAGTGCACCCAATATGTCTGAATGTGGTTACCATGTTCAGAACACCCAGAAATTTAAACCGGCATCAAACCGTGGTTTAAGTTCCTAGGCTGTTCCAAATCTGATAATCATAGCTTCTCAGCTCAGGAACTATGGAAGGAACAAGGAACTATGGAAGAGTCCTTGGCTTAATTCTGGTGAGCTGAATAAGGCCAAGGCTCAATTTGTATTTCAGTCTATTAATTCAAGATAGGATTATCAGGTTGTTATCTCTTTTGCCTTCCCCAGAAGCCTTCATATTCAACTGCTAAACCTAGCAAAATGTTAGAGAAATATTCTGCTGATTATGTAGTTTCACATTTTACTCACTGGCAAAAAGGGTTTAGCACTCACTTATAGCAGGAAAGGCACATGGAGCTCATTAATCCACACCTCACTGTAACCTATTGCTATATATTATCAAATTGTATGTAGTGCTGCAGAGTCCAATTCATATATTCAGGAAGGAGAAAAGCCCTCCAAGGGACTAGTATTATCTTGCTTTCACAAACAGAATGAAAAACTAAAGATAATGCCAAAACAGGAGTATTTCAAGAACACACTGGTTCAGAGGAAGGGTTCCAAGGCAACCTCTGAGATTTTTCTTCCTTATTAGTCTATACCCTAAAACACCACCACAGGGGATAATTAACTTTTAAAACTCAGCATCACACACTCACAAGTTCACCTTCTCAACTCCCCTATGCATCTTTTGGTTTCTTTTGCTTTCCGCTTCTTTCATAGTTTTCTTAAGAATATTGGGCCTGGATCCCAGAAATTCTATCTTATCCTATCTAACTCTGTTTTGGAAACAAAAAATATATGAAACATCTTCAAAACAAAATGCCCGCTATGTTTCTGACCAAAGATACTGCAAATATTCCAAAATACAGTGGGTATAGAACATGTCACAGCCTTGCAAAATTCCCCTAGTCGACCCATGCATTTTTCTGTATGGAGAAGCACTTCTTGTTTGGAAAACTACATTTTTTTAATTTCTGAAACAAAGATAAGACCCTTGGAATGACTTTTTAATTCTTCACTTGAACTTTTGCCTACTTAAAAGAGACATCCTGTCAGTCAAAAATGAATGGAAAGATGTGCACATGACTTTCACAACCACAACGTTACATCACACAAAGGATGCAAGAGTGAATGATGCATGTGGGTCAGCTGTTTGAAGTGACTTCTGTGACTCTTTGCTGCTTTAGAAAAAATGTATCATAAACAAAATAAGGATATAGAAATAAATGATCAGGAATAACACTTCTCTAGAAGCTCTTTTCAGATTTAAAACTGTAAGAGACAGAACAGAACAATGGAAACAGTAATTAAAAGATCAATGTGACTGACTTTAAGAAGGATGACAGAATTACAGAATATCATAAAAATTGATACAAGAGTTATGGACATAAATACTTAAATCAGGATACATTTATATGTGTTATTTACTTCACACATTCATAGACTGCTTTTCCAATAAAAGCAACCTATCAGAATATGTTGCAGTAATATTAAGACAAAATATGCACTAAAACTGTGTGCTGGCTGCAGCTTACTGAGAGTTGTAACCATTTTCTGTCCAAAGGTGTATAGGATTGCACCTTGGAAACATTAGTTCCAGAGCACAGATTAAACCAAGAAGTTAGGCTAAAGTACTAATATTGAAAAAACATCTATACCTGCTGTTATTTTATCTTGAGAGGTATTGGTTTTATAATGACAATACCATTCACACTTCATCCATCTGAAAAGCACCCCAACCAATCTTGTTTCTTCTGAAGACAGTGGTGTAAAGCGTAACAATAGCATGGTGAAAAGAGAATTATAACTCACAAGCCAGAAAATCCCAGTTCCCTGTGTTAAGAAAGCAAACTGAGAAACTGTGATTTCTCACTTATAATGGTTTGCAATTATACCCACTTTCTGCATGCCTCACTGGCAAAAGGCCAAGAAGATATATCAATCTGATGCAATTTGTTTGCAGTGCTGTCCTATTCATATCTAAGTGGCAAGCTCAATGGAATTCCATGTTATTTACAGGCAGTTCCCAGCTTATGAATACGAACAAATGCCATTAAGCCTATTAATTTTAAAAAAGAGTTGAAGACAAATGGTTCATAGTAATGAATGCAGGAACTTTTGCAGCCTACTGAAGACAATCATGATCACCAGAGAGAGAGAGGAAGCGAAAGGGGAGTGAGTGAGGGCCTCTGAAGAATGCCTTTTTGCCCTGCCCATTCAGAGAGGAAATTTATCTGCCATTTACTTGGTGCAAGGAGGAGGTGCTGGTAAGTGAAAGGGAGAGTGGGGAATGAGAGCTTAAGAAAATAGTAAATGAAGAAGAGGAACGCTGTTGGATTAGACCAAGGTCTGAGAGAGGGGGCGGGGAGGAGCAATCCAGTACACGTATGGTCAACAGTATTAAGAATTAATGCATTTTGGGGGGTGGGGGCTAGAGATATTCATAGGTTTTCCACTTTCGTAGGTGTCCTGTGCCCTTAACACCAACAAATTTGGGGGGCTGACTGCATATGGCAACATTTCTTAAGGGGTTTATATGCATAGAAAAGTAAAATATATGTGTGTACTATGACTAACATTTGGCTTACTCATGCTAAAGATGACCTATATGGACGTGGCCCAACTTACATACAAATTCAACATAAAGACATTCTCAGGAATGGAATTCTTTCATAACCCAGGAACTGCCTGTATTTATAACTATGTAGACCTAGGACTGCACTCTCAATGGATGGTACCACACTGATTTCCAGCACCAACAAGCAGTCAAGCGACTCCATCATAGAGACATCTATATTATAGCATTAAGAAAGATGGTGGATTGACATCTCTGGGCTTACTCAACTCACAGTTAAGCTAAGATAGGAAAGGGCAGGGAGGAAGGGAATTCCCTATCAAATTCTGACTTGTTTTACTTTCTGGAGGTGACATAAGAACATGGGAAACTTCCTTATACTGAGTCAGACCATCAATCCCTCTAGCCCAGTATGAACACCTCTCCAGGAATCATTCCGAAATGCACCAGCAGATTCCAGGGAGTATCTCTGTGTCCTTCTGCAGGCAAATGCGTGCTCCATCACTGAACCCTTCCCTAGCAGAATCAGCCCTGATATTCTGCTGAACCAAAACCAGCAGAGAATACTGCAGGGCCTTAAAGACTAGCCATTTTATTCTCGTATAAACTTCATGGATGAGTAAGATCATCACTTTAGAACTAAAAAGCAGCATCACTGCCAGTAACCAGACAAAGTCATTTTATTTCAGGACATAAATGAGTCTCAACATTTTGAACAAGAAGTTATTCCACTGTTATCATAAATCATAAATATATTTTACACTTAAGTAAATTGTAACTTAAGTGCCTCTCCCCTTAGGAGGAGAGATGAGAGAACTTACAAAGGTGTGGCACTAGCCTGCCATCAGTTCTCACTCAGGGTTTCAGCTGAGATAGCCCCTTCCAGGCTAGCTGCCTCCACAGGGCTACTGAAATCCACCTTGTCCTGAGGGAAGGAATGAGATGACAGAGCAGCATGTCAGATAATCTGATTGACGACCACAATAAGAAAAGCGCATTTATTTAAGCCCATATTATATGGCCCACCCTATCTAGTTAAGATGCTGATGTAGCATCCTGCTGGTACAACAGTTAAGAACTCACATACTTCCTTAGGCCTTTTCTGTTGGAATAGCAAGTCTTGTAATCAGGCCACAACATAAAACAAAAGACTCCATTCAAGAGTAGAAGATAAAATGCATTTGCCCAGATTCAAAGCAGGTTAGTTGCTGGGGGCAAGCTAGCAATTACTAACTTAAATTCTATTCATTTCAGTGGCACTTAAGCTCAACTAACTCCCTCACATTGTAGATCCCAAACATACATGTTTTTAAAATTGTGCAGATAAATATTAGAAAATACAGTGCTGCCTTTTTTTCAAGCTCCCGATGTGAATAATCAAAGTCCACCCTCGGTGGTAAAACCTGTTCTTCTGACCATAGCTGCTTAAATGAACAACAAGTTCCCAAACCCTGTAATTAACATTTTTCTTTGCATATCAGCTGGTCTGAAGTAACAAATAGCACACTCCTGTGATATTAAGATTTGACAATCTCTTCCACAATTCGAATGCAAAAACTAGCCACACATCTTTGCTTGGAACTCTTCTTTGACACACAGAACATTAAGAAGCAGTAGGATTTCAATATGTCTAAAAAGAAAGGAAAAATCCACTTCACTGACAACACATAATGATGAAGGAAGTCCCAGTCTTAGTTAACTCTCCTTACCGATCTGCATAGAACCCATTTCACCGCTGCCCTAACTGGAGAAGGCAGAAAGGTCTGCATTTGAGAGGGAAGCCTTCACGGCAGCACTGTTATTACTATCCATTGTCAAGAGGAGGCAAGAAGTCCATTGGCAGAACCCATTTTGTCTCTGTCCATCATTATATCCCTATTAAGAACATAGGAAACTTTCTTTCATTGACTCAGAACATGGGGTTATCTGTTGATACTGACTAATGGGAACTCCCCAGGTTTTCAGGGAGGTTCTTTCCTCGTCTTGCCTGAAGATGTCTGGGTTCAAACCAGGAACTTTTTCCATCCAAAGTAGATGTCCTACTCACTGGTCTATAGGCCATCCCAGGTGTCATACACATAAACAATACCAAACATTACAGGTTGGGATGGATTTTTGCTGGGCCCCTAGACAACACCATCAGAAAAGAGACACAGGCCAGTTGTCTGACTCAGCTTTGGAAGCCAGCTTCTGACAACATCGGCCTGGTATTCTCTGGGTAGGTCCATATCTACTGTGTATCTTTAACCATTGTAACTAACCATGTATACTTAGAAATATAAAGCACACTCAGTGTTACAAGCTTCTTTCTCTATGCCCCCTTTCTGGTAAATAGGATTGGAATTGCAAATTTAGAACCAGCATATATATTTGGCAGAACTGAGTGGTACAATCCAAGAAATGAAGTAAAGTGCTGAATATTTGAATATTCCTCTGCTATTTAAACATGAAAACAAAACACCAACTCACTGCAGGTAGAGAAAGGAAAAAAAATCAAATTGAAGGCATGTGTCTCCCCAAATATGCTATTTTTGTATATGCAGGGAAGTCAATTAAAAAAAGAAAAAAAATCTTCAAGTTGAAGCAACATATTTGAAGCAAAGCGTTATCATTTTATTCATCCATATGCCTTATTCTTTGGAAAAAACTGTTCTCAAGGAACCTACAAATTCCATTGCTGGGTTACAGAACAGTGGCTGAATATTTTCCTGTTTAACAGGAATGAAGATCAAGAGAAAACTACAGTCATCCCACAGAGGGATACGAAAAAAAATAAAGAATCTCAATTCCTCAGGCACTGCTTAGCTGTAAAACCGCATGAGGAAACTTATTTTACAATCGTTAGCAGCTAAGAATATATTTGATGGTACTGATATGACAGCCCATGCTACGATGACCAAAAAACAGTAGAAACTAGCATGAAAAATGCAATATATGTTCATTACTCACATTCTTGTGTGGGATTCACATCTAGAATCCCACATGAAAAACTCAACAAATGATAGGAGTTAAAACCTAGATTCCTCACTAAGAGATACTGTTTAAGTTAATTTGAATATTTCGATACATATGCTAGAGAGATACTGGCAAGTTTGTTCTGATATGATCAGTTCCAAATTAATTATACTTTGCCTCTCACTTCTTTCTTATATCATTTTAAAATAAATATGTTGAGTGGGGGTGTTTGGCTTTATAAGGAAGGATGAATTATATGCCATGAATATCGGCAAACGGCAACACCTAAATATGCAGTGCGGGGAACACAAAAGAAGCCGTGAGGAGCGGTTGGCATCTGTGTAAGACCACACAGATCTCTGGGACTTCCACAGAGCCAGCTCACACATGTTCAGACTTTCTCCACAGCTATGGGCCAAAAACAGCGTGAGAGCAACACACATGCTGCTTCTTCTCAATGCCTTTAAAAATGAAATGTAGCCGTGGATGGTTGACATTGGTAAGAGGGAAGGAAGAAGCCCTTAACACTTTTTTGCCCCCACAAGCGGCTTTGGTCGCCTGTTGGGAAAAATGTAGGGTTCCCCACGCAGAGATAGGACAGCCATGTGGGGAGGAGGCATTAACAAAAAAAGAAAAAACCTGCAGGGAATAAAAGGGCTAAGCACTCCCCCACCTTAACTTTTAATTGCCCCTGTGGTGAACTGGTCTGTACCCAGTGCCTCAGCCCGGTGAATCTATTTGTTATGTGCATAAGAGAGGTGGCAGGGTGGGAGAAGCCTTCATCCAATCCTTCCCTAGAAAACCATTATTACAGCAGTGAACAACTAATTCATTTCTTTAGGCAAGATCAGAAAGTATGATAAGCTGCAGGGTACAACTAATTTGAATTTCTATTTCCACAAGATTAGCATAACACATATAACATTGTCACAGTTCTCCCAGGTGCTAAAGTCCAGTTGATTGGGATATTCCATTTGAAATATATCTTTTGCGGGAACCAAAACTTGGCACCTTTAAAAATGTTTTGTTACACTGAGATCTAAGATGTCCTCTCCCTCTTGTGTGTAAAATCACACATTCATGTTAATTCCTTGAAAGGGCAGCCTCAAGTGATTGCTTGCACTTGTGAAACTGTCATCACAAGCCAAATAATTATATCACAGTATTTCCAGAGGATGGTTCCTAGTGCTGCTGATCAAAACACACTGGGCTACTGTGACATGGTGGTGAGTGGCATGGGAGATTGGGGTTCCAGTCCCCACTGCCCATGGAGCTCACTGTGGGAGACTTTAGGGCAGTCACTCACTCTCAGCCTAACACAGCTTCACATGGTTGTTGGTAAAAATGGAGTGAACAAAAACTGTGCAAGCCTCAGAAGAGGAAAAAGGGAAGGGTATACATACAATGTTAATAATAACAACAACAACAACAACAACAATAGCAGCAATCCTTTCTTCACTTGATGGATTTTCTGTGGTAAGAAAAAAGATGGAAGTAGCAATGGGAAAACACTGATGGCTTACAAATGGAAGGCATCTGAACTGTCCACGCGTAAGGAGAGGGCAACTGTACAACAGCAATCTCATCTGGAGCACTCTCAGATAACAGTAAGCAATATATACATTTACGTGCATTTCTATTTACATTTATCTTTGTATCTGTGCAGGTTTGTTGTGATTGCAAAAGGATACTATAGAAAGATACATACACATGCACCAACTTTTTTTAAAAAATTGCTAATTATCAGCCAACAAGGCAGCCAGTAAGTTGCTTGTTAAGTAAGGTGGGGCTTTGGGATTCACAGTATTAAATTCACAGACTTTGTCCCGGCTGTGGAAAGACTGCCCTGCATGCAGTTGCTTAGTCAAGAGGGAAAGAAGTGGCTTCTCCCTGCCTGTGAAGCATCACTATTAGCTGATTTGATTCTAGGAGTTTGTGGATGAAATTTTTATTGTTGTGACCAAGTTCCCCTGTGAATAGCATAAATAGAATAGCTCTGTGTGTGAGGGGCAAGGAGTTTTTCCACAAACAATGGTACAGTGTCACTCTACTCAGGGCCCAAAGACATTGCCACAGAATGTCCATGTAGTATAGCATGGTAGATACTCACTGGCGAACTGGGCAGAGGTATATGCTGCTCATATTTTTTCACACACAGAGTCCCACTCACAACATCCTGTACTGGCATCATCACATGGCACTACATGTCAGGCTACAACAGCACATAAACATAATTTAAAACTGTTTTCCCTGCCTTTACAGAAGGGAAATGGCTCAAGCACGGGTGGACCAGGCGATTAATATATGATTTTAACATTCACACGCTTAGAACTATTTCTTAGCATTAGAGTGAAACTGCACACACCAAATTTGTCCAACGTGTGTTATTACTTATTACAAATTCAGGCACACTTGTGGGAGTACTGATTTCCAAATATACTCTTCATCTAGTTTTTTTTGGCGGCATATCATTTCTGTGCAAAAGATGATACCTGTACACACTCACTTGCGTGCCTAGTGAGGGCAGCCCCTGAAAACACACACTTGGGTTCCAGAGCAGAGACTGGCCCTATAAATGACTTATATTGCAAATTACTTAGATCTGCTTAGATTGGTCATTCATGAAAGTAAATAAAATCCTCTACTTCAAAGGTTTTTTCCATGAATAAAAAAAGGATACAGGCTTCAATCCATATAGTACTTTTGCATGTGCCCAAATGTTTATAACCATATAGTGCCCATTCTACTTCTTCAAACCAGAATCCTCCATTATCACATTTCAAGTTGTGTTTTAAATACCACAAAACATTAAGAAGTGTGGTGATAAAGAAAACCCACTGTGTCTACAAAATCCCCCCTCATGCTGCAGCCAGAAAAAGTGTGTTACCTCAGTAATATTGGACAACCACATGTAAAGATTAGACAGCCGTATGTTGGGGATTATATGAGCTGAGCTGACTGGAGCTGGGGGTCAGACTAGACAGTCCTAGAGACCCCTTCTAACTCATTTTGTTCCTATGTAGCTATGTTAATAATTATTAATAACATTTGAATACTAATAATGTGCCATATTTTCAAGACCTTTATTTTTATTTCAACGTACACAAGGATAATCGCATCCTAAAGCAAAGCCTCATCTGTGCTATGTGGTGGTATTCCATATTGCCTGGTTTGCAAAACAAGTGAATTCTCTTTAACTCACCATGTGATGGAAACTTTCAAAGAGTTTACATCTTTTCAAGAAAGCAACACCAGCCCTTGTCCCTGGTGTCTTGTATCCTGGGCATTTGGGTAGAGGCCAATGGTCCTACTCTGATCAATTGTTTCAGTAATCATTTCAAGACACTTCGTACACATTAACAGAATCAATGTTAGTAGTTTTGGTATCTATATTATGTTCAATTACATATGTCTTAGTGAATCAATGCTAAAGATGTTGTCCCTTGCAAGAGCAAAGCCATCAAATTCTGCCAATTCTTATCCAACTCAGCATGGATATAGGGCACTAGAGTCAAATTTTAGTTCCTTGCTATCAATAGGCTAATGCATACCCACATATCACTTGAAAGAGATCCTTTTTCTGAATGAAAAAGTTTAGCATCGCACAGATTTTACCTTTTGAATTGGCAAGAATGAATGTCCCATTATTCCTATTTCTACAATGCCTATTGTAGTAGGTATAATATAAAATCTGCTTTCACCAAAATATTAGAAAGTGAGAAGCTTGCTTTCTGATAAAAACATCTACAAAAATGGAAAAGACATTCCATGAAGATACAAATCACTGAGAAATTAGAAATATTTGTTAATTTTAGTTAGTTCTCTGAAACTATGATCATATGCAAACTTTCTTGGAAATCCAGCACACACAGTTATCCTGGAACTGCAGTCCTACACACACGTCATTGGATTTTACCTCTGAATGAATGTGCACAAGAGAGAGTTGGAAACATCAGGAATCAAGCAGTGCAAGTTACATGTTTTTGTAAACAAATTCACACATGTCATTTTTCCTGTGTAGAGGTGATACATATTGAGGGGAATGTAATGAGGAAGAGGATGGGACTTCTAGGCATGAAAAAATTTCAAATATTTATTTTGTCAGTGGGTACAGAGTGACCAAGTGCTTGCCTTAACCATGAACTTAATTGATTGTATTATGGACATGTGTTCTTAGTTTTCTTCTGATTAAGGCTCAGATGTTGTCATCACCTTACTTTAAAGAACTAATGCATAGATCACATACAGTGCATGGTTCTACTGATATTAGTTTCCCCTATTCTTTATATTTCCTCCCTTCAGGAACACTTTATTATACACTTTTACATTACTTGTTA